GGGGCCTCCTCCCCCGGGACAGGCCCCTACACCTGGTCAAAGAGGCAACACTCCTCAGAATGCCATGAATCCCCGAAGCAAGACGCCCACGAAGACGGATCGTGCTTATGGAGGCCCGCCTGTGGATACCGCTCGAGCCATGGGGCCCGACAGGGATAGAGAATCGCCAGCTGCCAGGGACTCGCCAAAAGAAGCCCGACCGGCGCAAGACTCGAGTGCCGCATCGGGCGGTCGCCGTACGCCAACCCAGCAGCCATCAAGAATGTCTGCCAAGGCTATGGAAGCTGGTGAGGCTGCACCCCTTATAAGTGCGCCAACTAGACAACGGTCTTTGCGCCAGCACCGGCAACGCAGTTCTATGGACAGTGCCGACGAATCCATCCTTGGTAAACATGCTAGTATCGATGGTTCAACGGAGTCGAGGAGTTACAGAAATTCAAGATCTGGAGATGAACCACGGTCGCCCAGACTGACGCCCCACCAGGAAGCGCTAATCAAAGAGCTGGAAGCGGTGAAAAGCCGTAATGCATGGTATGCTTCCGAACTTGCCTTGGCTAAGAAGGCCGGGTACGCACCCAATCCGGCCAACAGCGTTGGTGTGGATGAGCGTGCCGCAGATGCATTTGCGGATGAGGATCGCCCGTTGATCGAAGCATTCCTTGCCATGAGAGCAGAGCTGGCCAAAATGCAGGCCACAGTCGATCGCCAGGCGGCCATCGCATCTAAACGTGTTGCAGAGGTGGAGCACCAAAGGGATGTTGCTGTCAATGAAGCCGCTTATTCTCGTGCCAAGTTGGCTGCTCATGGTGGAAGTCAAAGGGGCACCCCGCAACCGGATGGAAATGCGCAGGAATCCGAAGATACGTCTGTGGAACGCGGCACAGATCTAACCCGAAGGCTAGCTATGGCTCTCGCGTCGCAGAATGAGCTCAAATCCAAGCTGGAAGTGATCACCACTGAACTTGATCAGGAAAAGAGAGGCCGTGAGCTTGCGGAGGAGACATGTGAAGCCACCCGGAGACGACTGGCCGAACTAGAAATGCACAACAGCAAACTAGAGGCTGAAAGTCTTAGGGCGGAGCTTCATCAGCTGGAGGCGTCGCTCAGGGAAGAAAGTTTGTTGCGATCGGAGGCCGATTCAGCAGTGAAGCAATTGTCCTTGGACAAAGAGGAGCTTCTGCAGAAACTCGAGGACTCTTCCACCCGTCTTAGGGACTATGGCACTAACCTCGGCGGCCTGCGGGAGGCTGTTACCGCGTCATCTGAGAAGTCCCAACTTCTGGAGAGACAACTAGATGAGGAACGTGAGCGGCGTGAAGGCTTAGAAAGGAAGCTGTTGCAGTTGCGTTCGGAGCACGAAGAAAGGTCAGCAGAGTTAGAGAACGCCACACGTCGCTTGCGAGATGCCGAGGAGCTCATGCAGAGTCATTCGAGGGAAGCCGAGACCCATAAGAATGCGTTCTTGTTGGGTCTTGAGCGTGCGTCATCCTTCGATTCTGAAGCATCCTTGCGCTCCTTGTCCGATCAGCGGGTTTCTGCTTTGGAAGCTCAGATAGAGAGGGCCAACCAATTGGCAAAGACAAGTCAAGCTGCTGCAGATGAAGCAGCAGACAAACTCCGTCGTGCAGAGGAGAGGATTGCTGGACTGGAGGCGTATCAGGAACAGGCTAGTAGGGAGGGTTTGCAGCTTCGCAGGCAGCTGCAAACAGCTATGAAGGAAAGTCAGGGTCACTCTGCTGAGAACAGAGAACTGAAGTCACAGCTGGAGAACCACCAGCGCGAGGCCGGTGCTCTGGCTGTCCAGCATGCTGCCTTGAAGGACCTTTTGGGAGAGCGTGGGGTCAATTATGCCGATAGCCGACGCTCGCCCCTTGAGTCGCCTGGGTCTCGTTTCGGAACTCCCGAGCAAGGTCGGCTTCGCGAACTGGAACAACAGCTTTCCACCAGCTTGAAAGCCCACGAAGAATTGAAGTCCTCTTTCGAGACTCGTGAGCAGGAAGCCGACCGCGCATACAGAGAGAAGCTTGAGCAATTAGAAAATGACTACCAGTCGGCTGTTCATTACGTCAAGGGCACTGAAAAGATGCTGAAGCGCATGAAGGATGAGCTTGCTCGGTACAAGTCTCAGAACGGCAAGCTTCAGTCGGAGCTCGACGCGGCACAGACAGCTCTTGCTGAATCGTCTGGCAAGTCTTCGCAAGCTCCTGCTGACTGGGAGGTCGAACGCTCGAGACTCGAGCAGTCAATCTCCGATCTCCAGGAAGATACAGCAGCCTCCATCGCCAACCTTGAGAGTCAGGTTGCCAGGCTAAGAGCAGAGGCTGCAGCCGCCGAGGCTGACAAGACCAAATCGCAATCTGAACTCGCAAGTATCAAGCAGGAACTTGCTGCTGCGGCAGAGAAAAGCCGCTCTGAGCTGGAGCAGCTCAAGCAGGAGAACGCCTTGTTGGAGAATCGTGCGTCCGATGCCGAGCAGAAGGTTACCATGCTGCTTGACCAGGTTGAGGCGTCAGTCGGGCATTACCGTCGGCAGTCACAGCCTGTCCAAGGAATCAACGGCATCTCTCGCACCCACAGTAACGCCTCAAGCAACACCATCGGTGCGGGCCGTCGGTCCCGGGCTGACAGTGCCGTGTCTCAAGACGACGCTTTCCCTGACAACCGAAACTCGGTGGCGCTGGACTCGCTTGCAAACGAACTGGAAGCCTTGCGCACTCAGTGGGAGAGCAACAACCGTAACTATCGGTTGAGTACGCAGTCCGACTTTGATCGAACCCCAACCAGGGAGACGGGGCTGAGCGACAGTCTAGCCGAGTGGAGGCGCCGTCTGGATGACGAGGAGACCAGCTCCACAGAGAAGATCGAGCCTCGCCACTCCGGTACGAATCATGTAACAGCAAGCATGTCCTAAACACGACATGACTGTCTCCGATTATGATGAGAGATCAAATGTGTCTGTGTGTATGTGTGTGGTATATGTCACGAGTCAGCTGATTGATTGATGGCTAGTGGCTACAAGCATTTTTCTTTGCCTTTCAATAAGCCTCAACCTTTGTTATTTATTCAACTCTCACCACCCCATTTCCCCCTTTCGTTCTTGTTTCCCTTTTATACCCCATCCACCTTTTTTATTTATTTCATTTCCTTTCATCTATTTTCTTTTCTTCTCTTTTCTTTTCTTTCTCAACCTTCCATACTTTGGACTGTACTACTACTACTCCTCCATTACTTTGTTTACTTTTTAACTTAACGAAGCCTCTGTCTGAATCTACTTCTGATTTTCTCCCACCGAAACGACCTGGAAATCGTAAACCAACCCGTACTGTATTGACCCCACCACTGAAGATAGATTTCATAGGTTAATAGTTACATAGAGATAGATACCCTTAGATCCTCATTGAACATATGGCTGGCGTACATGCCCACCTTTAATTACTCTTACCACTGAGTAAACTGCAGCAGCCAATAGTCAAGTTATAACAAAGTAATTAGTCACTATGAGACTGGAGTCCAGTGAGTCAGGCCGAATGGGAGAACAGAGCCTTGCTGGACATCTTCACGAGTATTGAGATGTGGACTACCCAAGGGAATGTATATGCCTAATGTGGTTTATGTTGTGATCTTTCTTGTTATGTTGTAAAGTTACATAACGTGAGTAACGCATACATAGAATACAAGATGTCATATGATGTGTTTAGGTGGTGGCTGTACCGGCCTTGCATTACTCAATTGGGTATGGATAGGTGGCAAGCTGCTCTTGGTCTGCTTATTGCTCGAAGGCATCCTGCTTTGGAATGCAGGAAATGGAGGGATAGACATTATGCGGGCTTTATCGGACAGTTGTGGCGACTAACAGCAGAGTCAACTACGTCGAGACTCTTGTTCTACATCATTGTACCAGATTGCGAGATGTATAGTTCCCGATTGGGTAGCGAGTCAGTGGGAACCGGCTCAGTTGCGTGCTGCATAAAGCAACATTCTGCCCGGCTGATCCCACTGACTACCCCCTCTCAGTACGTAGATGACCGATGCTAACAATTGAGACGATACACAAGGAAAAACATGTGAAAGTGACAGGAATCGACGCAATACCACCCCGGAAGCGACCCTAGCCAGTTTCCGTCGCCACATACCCATTTGAGACGCGCTTTCTCCCCGCCCAAAGCACTACAGGCTGCCCTTGTTTTTGGCAAGGACAAGCGCAAAAGCACCTGGACATGTGGGAAAAAGAAGCACCTCCCCAACACCTCTCCACCAGTCGTTCCTTCATTCTCATCGTCCCCGTTTGTGCGTCAAGAGTAGGAAAAATATGACAGTCTGAAATAAGAAACATGCAAGCAGAAAAGAAATGAAATATCAAAGCAGGGGCATTGTAAGGAAATGGTCGCTAAGCATGATGAGGGACTCTCGCGACAGTTGCAGCGGTAGAGACATCTCTTTTTGTGCTTGAAGCGTAATCATTTCAACTTTGCATCTCCTTCAGTCATTAGCCTCCCGATCGATGGCAGCGCAACTCCACGCGAAACTTCAATATGAACGTATTATTTTCATGTGGAAACGACCGCTACCGGGAGGCTAAGACGTAGAATAGCCACAATTAATGCGTTTCGAGTCTGCTATCAAGGACCTTTCGTGTATGATGAACGTAACCAGGTTTTTGCAAGTGATGTATTCATCGAGCGGTGTAGTTCCGAAAGGTTCAGCATAGCCGATAGACGAGCAGACGATCTGAATAAACGCGACGGATCGAAACGGCGGTAACCGGAAGACGATCTTGAACGGGATGGCGGGCTAACAGAGAATGCAGAGAGAGAAATAGTAAAGAAAATGGAAAGTCGGGGGCCCAAGGCGAAATAAGTCCGAAAGGTTCACTGCAGGCTGCAGAAGATAGCCGGTATAGTGGTAATCCTGGGCTCCTCAGATAGCGTGGCGTCAACACGCAGCAAGCTGAACGGCAACCGAAAAAAGAAACGTCAAGCTACACTGCCATGCTGTACAAATCAGTACCACTGAGAACCGTACCCATCGTCCCGCTTCGCGCGGCTACCGGCAGGGCCATAAGCACCTGAAGCAGCAACCTTGGAAGCAGAACGCAGCCTAACGCCGAAGACTATGAGATTAGTCAGATTCTAGATTTCAAGCCGACCTCTACGCACAGGGTCATAATAAAGCACCAAACGCAGAGGAAAGGGGTTCCCTACAACGGAACCTAGGTTTCAGATACTCACATCCTGTCACTCCCTCCCACAGCCCGGTTGGTTTCGGGCGTGTTGTCAAGAGTTCCACGTTCGATGACCTTACGGCGCTGGCTGGAGATGGCACCGGGCTTGGCAGCACCGGGGGTGCCCATGGGCGCCGCAGCAGCAACACCCTGACGGCGCTGCTGCTCTTCAGCCTCCTTGTCCTTCTTGTTGGCATCCACGATCATGGCAGCATTCTTCTGGTACTTGTAGACGGTCCAGTCGAAAACATAGTCATACTGGAAAGATTCGCGGACAAACAGATCGCGGAAGATCTTGCGAAGGTAGGAGTAGTCTGGCTTGTCATCGAAGCGCAGGGAACGAGTGTAGTTCAAGTAGATGGAGAACTCGTTGGGGAAGCCACGGCAGAGAACCTCAGTAGGGGTAGTCATCTTCTTCTCCATGATACGGTCGTACTTCTGCTTCTTAGTAGCAGCCTTCAGGCCTTGCCAGGGAAGGGTACCACGGCAGAAGTAGAGCATGACGTATCCGAGCGACTCCATATCATCACGGCGGGACTGCTCAACACCCAAGTGAGTGTTGATACTGGCGTAACGAGCAGTTCCAGTGAGGTTCTTGTTCTCACGGTAGGGGATGTGGAAGTGAGTCTTGGGGTCGCGGTACTTCTTGGCCAGACCGAAATCGATCACATTGACCTGGTTTCCACGCTTACCAATACCCATCAAGAAGTTGTCGGGCTTAATATCACGGTGGATGAAGGACTTGGCGTGAATGTACTCAATGCGAGAGATGAGCTGGTCGGCCAGCAAGAGAACGGTCTTCAGGGAGAATTTGCGGTTGCAGAAGTTGAACAGGTCCTCCAAACTAGGACCAAGAAGATCGATGACCATAGCATTGTAGTCACATTCAGTGCCGAACCAGCGAACGAAAGGAATACCGACACCACCGGCAAGAGACTTGTAGACACGGGCTTCATATTCGAGCTGGGGGTGCTTGGCCTTGACACTCTCCAGCTTGATGGCGATCTCCTCGCCAGAGATGATGTTGGTGCCTAAGTGGACAATTAGCCAGCTGCTCCAGATAACTCATCTCACCTCCTGAAAATTGTCACGCACCCAGGTAGATATCACCGAAACTACCACTTCCAATCTTCCGTCCAATACGGTATTTGTTACCGACACGTAGATCCTACAGAAGTGTTAGTCATAACTGTTCAACGAAAGAAGAAAACATTCAAATGCCACGAACCATTGTCGTCATTTTGATGAATTAGACACGCCGTCGTGTTGTGTGAGTAAGGTGTTGAGCAAACTAAAGGTCGGTATCCGGGTTAGTTATAGATCGATGAGATCATTCCCTCGAGGAAGTGTGTTGAATAAAGAGTGTTTGTGAAAGAAGAGGGGGGTAGGAGGGGCGTGAAGGCAGTGGGCAATGTATGCTGCCAGAGAGATGGCAAAATCACCAGAGGACAAGGTGCAGGGAGAATCCCGGCGCGTAGTCACTTGGCAGAGCGAGTCTGCTGAGGGCAGGCGGCTTGGACGAAGAGCAAAGCAAGACACCAAGCCAAGCAAGAGGAGAGGCACAAAACAAGTGAATAGTGACACTGGGGAATAGAGAAAAGAGAGTTGCAGCCCAGAAGCGGACGAACCTGGTCTAGAAACGGGAAGGAAGAGATGAGATAGCGGTGATGTCGACTGTTGGGGTGAACCGACCGTGACGACCCGACCGGAAAGGCGAAAAAGGCGGAGAGAAAAAGAAAGGGGATCAAGCTGACAGACCTTTTAGCGGCTGTCACCGACCAGACGAGGGAGAAAAGCAGCACAACGTACCTACAAGAGATAGGAGAGACAAGAGAAGGAAAAAGAGGATATATCAGACTCAAGGACAGAGCCTTGATAATGGAGAAGGTGGGTTGAGAGAGGGGGGGGGGAGAGGGAGGGAGAAGAGGAGGAGAGGAGAGAAAGAGGAGAGGGAAAATGCGAGAGTAAAGAGAGCAGCCAAGCCGGTCAGCCTTCAGAGAAGACAGAGACAGAGAGGAGGGGGCGGGTAAGGAAAGTAAGTAAAGTAAGTAACAAGACTGACTGTGATAAGTTTAGCAGCCGCCGGTGGTTGGTTGGCCGCTGGGTTTTGGCCTGTTTGGGTCTGGCTTTTTGGTCACCTTGTTTCCCAACTTTTCCTTCCTTTCCCCCCAGCGTATCGTAAATGTGGTATTTTTTATTTCCTCTTCCGTACCGTATCCAAGGCTACCTAACACCAACTAAGTCTACTTCCTACCTTAAAACTAATCTACAAACCAACTACCAAACATCCGATCTGTTTCAAAGCAAGGCTGTCCTTCTTTTTTAAGCTGATACCCGGCGGCTGGCCAAGTAGGAGGCTATAACTGGGGTCCTACAAGGCAAGGATAACGCCAGTCATTTCGGGAAGAATTGCAGATACTAGGAATGAAGACAAGGCTCTCCCAAGCAGGGTGGAAATTGCAGTTCATCCTGGGGGTGGCTGAAGTAGGAGTCGGTGAAGCAATCCAGCAGTTTACGCCTGGGCAACTTCAATACTCCCTACGTACTTAATTCTCACCACACAAAACATTTTGCATTTAACTATAGCTCGGGTATCTCTTGAGGCTACCCTATTGTGTGCGTAGGTCTCTGATGCTTTTCTTAGTAACTACTGAACAAGGTTAACTAGTCAACGAACTTGACAGCCCAGCAGGATTGGACTAGGTCATGATGCATCCGGGTTGTACCTATCACGGCTGGTTGCCTAAGGCAGACAGGACTGGTACCTCGTATGTAACCATTTCATACCTCCAGATGCCTCGCTTCCAATGCAACAAAACGAAAAGAGATGAGGCAAACGATCCGCTTTGATCCAAAGACATTCTAGAAGTACCCAAAAAGCATGTTAGGCGGCGAAAAAAAAAAAAGTCTGGCGATAGTGGCAAGAATATGGGTAATCACGAAGTGAAAATAACCTAAACCCAAAAGCAAATGTTCCATACTATCCCCCCAATAGCTACCTAGTTAGTTTTTTTTACGCGGTTTGTGGCGGATGATTATTTCCCTCACGCTACTTTCTTTTCCCTCTTACCCGCGGTGACCCCAAAGCACCTCACCTCAAATCGATGATGAGATGATGCTTAGTACTACACCTCTCCTCCCTCCCCCATTAACTAGAGGCTTATTCCCCAGGCGAATGAACACCATCCGTGTAGACTCCATCATTTCTTCCCTGTACCACAGCACTCGCCTCCTTAAAACCCGATCGTCGTTAAGGCAAGGAGAAAATTCCTCTCACCTCATCTCATCAATTTACCCTGATTCTTCTACCTTGGAGTACGTAGTAGTACTTTTACCCTCGGAATGGAACGTCTCCCTTTCCTAGTATGGCCGATTGATCCCGGGCGGTGAACAGGTGACCCCGGATACCGCATTTGCAACTCCTCGTGAAGGTAAATTAAATACGGTGGGCTTACGGGGGTGGCCCTCAATTAGTTTGGTGTTAGTTAATTGGGGGGAAGTCTTTTTTTGGGGCCCAAACACACGCGCCTTATCGGACCATCGATCAGTGCCTGAGACATGATGGATCGGAGAATACCTAACACGTCCCTTTTTCCCTCTTTCTTCTCTACGTACTAAACTTCCCCCCCTCTCCACTTCTGGGGTGTGTGTGTGTTCCCACAACAACACCTACTGGGCCAGATCAACGTGCAGCTCAAGTAAGTAGTACCACGTCGATTCAAGATGGAACACCTGTATAGTATAGCATTGGCGATCAAGAAAACATCATTGGCATCACCTGATCCCCTTCCAGGATGATGACGACGGTGGTCAGGTAGTCACTAACGAATTGAGTAATTGAGCAACTGTAATAATCAGGAGTTGATCTGAGGGTAAATCCCGCAAATAATCATCCCTGGTCTCACCGCTAACGATGATCCCAATTCAATCACCACCACATAGATAGTAAGTAATAATAATACATTCATCAGAACCACGAAAAAGAAAAAATGACCCCGTGTGTTCTTCTTCTCATGCACACAAAAAGGGAATTTACCAGTCAATTTCAGGTATGCACAGGCCAATTGTTGCCAAGAGTTCGAAGCTATCGACTGCGGGGTGTTTTGTAGTAGTCTTTCAGGTAAAGGAAACGTTGGCGTTTGCAGGTTGGCAGATTGAATCGCTCCGTTCATCCACGTATGCATTTACTACTAGATACAAGGTGCAGACTGCATCTACCCTTTCTGTCTGCACCGTCGGGTTTTCACCCCTCAATCTATGGTTGTAGTGCTGTCTGGAGTAATTGTTTCTAGCCTCACCTCTCCCACCCCCAAACAAACAACCAGATATGGAGTACTTTGATTGGGGCCACACATCCCACTTTTCTCTCGCTCTTTTTCTCCGATTCTTATACAACAAGCATAGTGCTATCATGTCGCCCTTGCCTTAACGCATGATTACCCAGGGCAACGTCGCTTGGATCTACACCACGCAAGCGGTGCAGCTGTATGCATCGTGTTCAGATCAGCCAGCACACATTGGGTTGTTTACTACGGAGTAGCTGATATACCCAATGGTTTTGATGAAGAAAGTAAGATTGTCTCCTCATCTTGCGGGTTATGCTCATTGGCTTTCAAGAGCCATTGTCGGGTAAAAGTGTTCAAGATACAGCCAGGCCATAGCTCACGTTGATCGTCGAGCAAACATGCCTTGTAAGGTATCAGTGGACTTCAATCTGTCGGGTCCTTGCTAGGTTAGTACCGCAGCATGGGTGAGGATTCACTCCGGATAGCGCAATTACAGAACCCGTGGCAATGCACATGCAGTCCTACGTAGCCCTAAGCAAACAGAGTACCCAGGGGGGTCAACCAATAGTAGTCTGAGCCCGAGAACAAGGAAACCCATTCAAATTTGAGAACAACTCTGGTAGCAGTAGGTATAATGGTTCACTCCTAAATCTCCAATGACTCCAGGAAAGACTCAATGGGGTCCTCCACTTCACGAAACAGTAGCAGATCGCAGCATATGTTCCATGAAGCTTGTGAAAAGCGGTATATACTCCGAAAACAAACCCTGACGCCCGTGCACCGAAATAAAGCGACCAAGAAGCAAGACATTGCATCGTTGAATCCATGCTAACAGGCGAATTCACAACAAGTCATCGTTGCCAGCAGCTGCACTTTCTTCAATGGCCTGAAGGACCTGGCTTTCCCGAAAGGCAGGCCCCTGCCCATCGCACTGAGCAGTACCTTGCAACCGACCCGAGACATCGCCAATATTCACTAGGCCACGCTTGAAGAGTTCATGATTCTGGATGAGATCCCAGGTGGCTCCCGAGTCAAGCAGTTTCTCACCCGTCTTTCCGCATATGGTGATGCGATGAGCGGGGCCATTACCCCCAACTGCATCGGATTTGAAATCCGTGGGCGAGTATTGCAATGGCCCTGTCGTTGTCGGTTCCTCATCGGTGGGGCGCTGGCCTGACTGGCGCATTGAAGTCGACGTTGCCCGAAGTATCTCATTTTCGGTCGTAAACTTTGCCAGCTCTCTCTTCAGTCGCTCATTGTCCGCCACAAGAGTGTTTGATGCATTTTCAAGGTTGTTAACTTTCTCTTCCAGTTCACGCACATGGCGCTCTTTGCGTTCACGAAATGCGCGCTGGCTGAATTCAAAAACAGAGATTAGTTTCATGGCATATAACACAGTCATCGATCTGAAACCACTCACGCAGCTCTGTTCTGGGCCTTTCGCTTCGATTGCGCCGGGGTCAGACTCTCTTTCTCCTCGCTGCTGCTCCGACCGAGACTTTGGTCTAAAAGCTGATCGTCTCCATCGTAAGAGGCTCGATCAACGTTCTGGCTAGAAAATTCATTGCTGGTGACCGACTGCTTGGTGAGGGACTCGGGAGGCGAGTGTGGCGGGGCAACGAAGGCAGCGGCTGCGTGAGGATCCTGAAAGCGCAAGTTCGGATCGAAAGACCGGTAGTTTTGCGCTCCCTTTCCACAAGTCAGCGTCGTGAGAAGTTTATATGCTTAGTATCCACAAAGACAAGAGGGACCGACCAAAGGAGCGAAAGCGCCCTGGATGGCCTCGGCTTGAGGGGCCGAATTGCCTTGGTCGGGAGTGGGCAGCCCGTGGACGCCGTAGAGAGGATAAGGTTGCTGGGGATGGTTTGAATAGAACGAATAATCCATCTCGCCTCGTCCTGGAGAAGGAAAGATACGATATATGCTGTTCTTGTGGATTGATGAGGAGGTATGAACCCCAAGAGTAGGGAGGGAGAGAGTCAGCCGGGCCTAGAATTGGATTCACGGCAGCGATGGACTCGGGATGGAACCGCGCAGTGACAAACCCGCCCGGTGGCAGCCCCAAGCCAATTATAGCCAGACTTGGAGCCGCCGAGGGATATCACGCTCCCGGCTGTCATTGGAGATGGACTGCAGCGATCGACCGAATATTGATTCTCAGGCAACTGAAGTCATATGCAAGCCATCTGTTATATTGCTCTAGATGTCTCTCTCTATGGAAAGAATTTGGTTATTTTTGCAAATGACAAAATCAAGCACATGGCTATTTGCAGCCACGGAGACCCACTTTGGCGGACGCTTACTACTACTTACTACATAGTTACTTGGATCTGTACTGAGATAGAACCTAGAGGGATTGTTAAGGTACAAGAAAGTATAAAATGCTAACACATTCGTGTTCAAAGTTTGGCTGGCTGGCTGGCTGCCTACCTACTATGTGATAGGTATTTAGTTAACGGACCGAAAGCTGGAAACCCTGGTGGTACGGAGCTCTACATGTCAAACAAAGATGTAGAAAATTGGTTAAGCCAGCATGACCAATTCTCTGCCAGGTTATCAAGCTGGAATCCATAGTGTGATCTATGTGATGCATGGCGATATTCCCGTGCATATGTCGGCAAGGATACGATTCGATGCCCATCTGGTTCAAAGGGTCATTGGAACCCAGTCACGGAGAGAGGACCGCGACCGTCCAGATTTTGAGATTCATAGTTACCAATTATACCTCCTTAATCCCAGTCATCGTCGTCATCTTCCACTGTGGGCCTCGAGGACTTCAGCTTGGATGGGCGTTCATCTTCCGAAGAGTCCGACCTTTTCTTCAGACGGACATCGCTTTCTTTGACGGCACCTAATTCCAAGAGCATCTTCTCCAGATCTACGAGTCTCGTGTTAGAAACAAAGAAGCAAATATGAAGAACAGTCCTTACCTTCAACAGTAGTCCTTGGCCCCTTCATCTCCCGCAAGGTTATGAGCTGTTTCATGATCTCGCCATTTCTGTACACCAAGATAGTGGGGGTGTTTCTTTCCGGATAACCTTCGATGCACATGTTGCCTCGAATCTCACAAAACTTTATGTCACCAAACTTTGCCGCTAATTGCCGCCATAATTCGGTCAACCGTTGCGATTCGACATTGGCGCCTGAAGAGCTCAGATGAACGAGCACAAAGCATTTGTTCGAGGCTTCGGTCACCTCGCGCGCGTAATCGACTTTTTGTAGGGGGTATACTTGGTTATGAATACTAGTTTGCTGGAGTGTAGACAATTCCGCGAATCGTTTTTGACTGGTACAGATCGTTAGTGAAGCTGAACTTCCTGGTACCTGTGTCAGGGGCATGCTAGCGATCATCTCAGTACCGGTATTGTTCGAGGAAATCCTCATCTTCTTCATCTTCCAGTGCATCCAACTCGTCCAAATCCTTATCTTCTAGTCTATTTTCATATGCCTTGCGCTCTGCCTCGACAAGGGCTTCTTGAATGAGAGGTTCGGGATCTTGGGGCTTCTCGGGGATAACGCCATGTTTGCGGAGGATGTCATTCCTGCGGGGTGTAAGCTTGTATGGCTAACGGTAGTGAGCGAAGTCGATGATCTGACCATTCGGTATCCTCGTTAGGGTTGACTTCGACTTGCATGACTGCGGCGGGACTGAGGCTGTTTTATGAGCTCTTATGAATTTATAGAACCACCAAATGGTATGGTAAGAGTCAGGGAGGGAGACAGCAGCCTACACACTCTACGGACCCTCTGCGGCGAGACATGCCGCGTGTTTGCTCCGTTTGCAGGGTCAGCCACACCGCCCTGTGGCTCAGCCGCCCACAGACGCGGAAGGCCACCTGGAGATTGTTGGAGGCCGTCGGGAGAGCTGCTGTTGCTGCTGCCCTGGCCAAAACACCCATCCTCTACTATCTCCATTGGTCTGTCGTTCTCTCTTTCGGCTTCTTTTCCGGGGACTGGGCAAGTGTCTCTATACCTTCACTGGTCACCCCCCTTTTTTCCCATCAATCTTGTCTTTGAAAGATAATGAGGGCGCCATAGTCGTGTACATACACCGCCTGCACTACGACTAACCCATCATACTGACCCGCCCTTATTCGTCTCCCATTGAACAATCCCCCGACGTCACCCGTACGGGGCCCATTTTCAACCTAGAGAGAGCCATTAAACAACTGTGCTGCTGCGGCAATCTCTGCAGCCCGTCACAATGTCTTATATGAAGAAAGATGAGGACGCTGATCAGTCCATGATCAAGCTGGATCGGACCTCCGTGTTTCAAGATGGTAAGGGTCTATCAGTTTCGCTCTTCTCTGGAGTCGCATCAAGTCCCTGAACGTGATTGCTGACTTTCTTCTCTTGCTCTTCTATAGCGCGACTGTTCAATTCCTCTCCCATATCTCCTCGAACATGCCGTACTCTCCTGACCAAGATCGCCGTCCTCCTTTTTACCGGGGAGCAGTTCCCCACGAACGAGGCCACCACATTGTTCTTCGGCATTTCCAAGCTATTCCAGAACAAGGACCCCTCTCTGCGACAAATGGTCTACCTGATCTTGAAGGAACTTGCAAACACGGCGGAGGATGTGATCATGTCAACCAGCATTATCATGAAGGACACTGCTGTCGGCAGCGACGTTCTGTATCGGGCAAATGCCATCCGTGCCTTGTGCCGCATTATTGACGTAAGCGCATTGGGAACCCCTACTCTCTTGTCAAACGAGATATCTGATAATGGTCGTCCATGCAGGCTACTACTGTGCAAGGTATCGAGAGATTAATCAAGACCGCTATCGTCGACAAGACCCCTTCGGTATCCTCCGCAGCGCTGGTCTCCTCCTATCACCTTCTTCCGATCGCGCGCGATGTGGTCCGTAGATGGCAGAGTGAGACGCAAGAGGCTGCTTCGGGCGGGAAGCAATCGACTGGATTCCTTGGGTTTGGTGGCAGCTCTCAGGCTCACGCCATCTCGCAATCGAACTTCATGACTCAATACCACGCCATTGGTCTCCTTTACCAGATGCGCTCGCATGACCGTATAGCTCTGGTGAAGATGGTTCAGCAGTATGGTGCGGCTGGAGTGGTCAAGAGCCCCGCGGCTCTTGTCCTTCTGGTGCGGTTGGCGGCTAAGCTGGCGGAAGAAGACCAGGGCTTGAGAAAGCCTATGATGCAGATGCTTGATGGCTGGCTCCGACACAAGCATGAGATGGTCAACTTCGAAGCGGCAAAGGCCATCTGCGATATGAGGGATGTCTCGGACGCGGAAGCCTCCCAGGCCGTCCATGTCTTGCAGCTGTTCCTTTCCTCGCCCCGCTCTATCACCAAGTTTGCTGCAATCCGCATCCTTCATAACTTCGCAAGCTTCAAGCCTCACGTGGTGAACGTCTGCAACCCCGATATCGAAGCCCTTATCTCCAACTCCAACCGTTCCATCGCCACATTTGCCATCACGACTCTTCTGAAGACCGGTAACGAGGCCAGCGTCGATCGCCTGATGAAGCAGATTTCCGGCTTCATGGCAGACATCACGGACGAATTCAAGATCACGATTGTGGAGGCCATTCGCACCTTGTGCCTCAAGTTCCCTAGCAAGCAAGCCGGCATGCTTTCGTTCCTGAGCGGCATTCTGAGAGATGAGGGTGGTTACGAGTTCAAGCGCAGTGTGGTTGAGAGCATGTTCGACCTCATCAAGTTTGTCCCCGAAAGCCAGGAGGATGGTAAGCTCTCCCCTGGAAGCTCTGGGTCTTTTTTCGTGCTAACTAACAGAACTAGCGCTCGCCCATCTGTGTGAATTCATCGAGGACTGCGAGTTCACCAAGTTGTCCGTCAGGATATTGCACTTGCTTGGTGTGGAGGGACCTAAGACGTCACACCCTACCAAGTTTATTCGCTACATCTACAACCGTGTCGTTTTGGAGAATGCCATTGTGCGAGCTGCCGCCGTGACCGCTTTGGCCAAGTTTGGTGTCGGACAGAAGGATCCTGAAGTCAAGTCCAGTGTTTCTGTCCTTCTCACCCGATGCCTGGATGACGTCGATGACGAAGTGCGTGACCGTGCTGCCCTCAATCTGCGGTTGATGAGCGAAGAGGATGAGACTGCTAGCCGCTTTATCAGCAACGGTAAGCTTTCTGCGAACTAGGCTTGTTTATACTTTGCTAACGACATCAGAATCCATGTATTCGCTTTCGACATTTGAGCACCAGCTCGTGATGTATGTTACATCAACAGACAAGGCGACGTTCGATGCTGCATTCGACGTTGCCACGATCCCGGTTGTTTCACAGGAGCAGGCGTTGGCTGAGGAGCGGACCAAGAAGCTCACAAGCGCGACGCCCACTCTCAAGGCACCTTCGACTGGCCCGCCCAAGGGCAAGGCCAACGGTGTGGCCGAGGCCGTCACGGTCGCCGCCACTCAGAAATACGCCGAACAGCTTATGCAGATTCCAGAGCTCAAGGAGTACGGCACTTTGCTCAAGTCCTCTGCGCCTGTTGAACTTACTGAGAGCGAGACGGAGTATGTGGTTACGGCTGTTAAGCACATCTTCAAGGAGCACGTTGTGCTGCAGTACGACATTAAGAACACTCTGCCGGACACTGTTCTGGAAGACGTGACAGTAGTTGCGACGCCGTCGGAGGAAGATGTTTTGGAGGAGGAATTCATCGTTCCTGCTCCTAAGCTGGCCACGAATGAGCCCGGTATTGTTTACGTCACTTTCAAGAAACTTGCGGGCGAGCACAGCGTTCCTGTTATCTCCTTTACGAACAACCTCAAGTTCACCAGTAAAGAGATCGACCCCACTACCGGCGAGCCTGAGGACAGCGGCTATGATGACGAGTACCAGGTTGAGGACCTTGATCTCACGGGCAGTGACTACGTTATCCCAACCTTTGCTGGCAGCTTCGACCACGTGTGGGAACAGACGGGTGCCAACGGTGAGGAGGTCAGCGAGACTCTTCAGCTCAGCAACATGAAGGGCATCTCTGGTAGGCCAACCCTTCTCCACATCCGGCCTAGATCTTCGAAAACTAATCTCATTACAGATGCCACCGAGCAACTAATCTCTACGCTCTCCCTGCAGCCCCTCGAGGGCACGGATGTGGCCCTCAGCAACAGCACGCATACACTGAAATTGTTCGGAAAGACAGTGACAGGCGGCCGGGTTGCATCCCTTATCAAGATGGCCTTCTCCAGCAAGACTGGAGTGACCATGAAGATTGTCGTCCGGGCGGAGGAAGAAGGAGTTGCGCCTGCTGTGATTGCGTCCGTTTCCTGAGCTTCATGGACCCCTGTAAATGTGTAAAGGAGGCATGTTCGCGAGGCGCATGAGCCCTGCATTATGAAATCAGATATTTCTTGTTTCCCCCCCCTGCTTCATTTTCATTTTCCTTTTTATTCTTTTTTCTCTTCATCTATAATTCTGGTGCCGAGTTAGATGCGATGAATATCTTGCGTAGGCGTCAAACTACCCTATTCATTCGAATTACCTATTTCTCTTCATTTCCATATCTGACTTGTTCTTGTTCCAGCTGACTGTATCTTTCAACATTTTACTTCTTTCCCCCCATTTTTCTCTGCCGATGTTTGTCCCCTCCCCTTGACATTTCTTCGAACATGTTAGCATGTCCTGGCCCCCCTTGCTTTGTCTTCGTGTCATTCCCCGTTTCGCTTGTCCGGGTGGCCGGTGGAACGGGGAAGTGGCTGGAGTCGTTCTGTAGTCAAAAGCGTCATCATACTATATCTATCTACCATTTTGTTTAGAGGTTCTCTGCGTCCGCTTCGTGTTTTGTAGAAGCTTTCTATACTAATACTACTAGTGGTAGATAGACAAGCATTGGACGAAGCAATTGATTGTGCGGAAATACATTCGGTCTATCATATTGAATCTTCAACAAGCAAAATATATAAACAAACTCTAGCCGAAAACATCTGATAAAATGTAGACAAAAAGGTATATAGAAAGGAAACGCCGACCATCATATATAATAAACGCCAATCGTGTCATCATCATCAGTATAATCGCTCTTCTCTACCCCATTCTTGAAAGAAGATTTGGAATTTCTTCGCTCCTTCTTCGAGTACCGGCTATGAATGAAATCATCGATCTCCGTGTCTTCCAGAATTCGCTGGTTGGTGCAGAACAGCTCAGAGAAGCCCACCGATCGGAGGTTCGCTAAGCCGTATTCCATGGCTGTGATTAACGAGCTTGTGCTGAAGGTTATGTTGGCGTCTAGACTTGGGAATCCGAATTCGAGATCCTCGAGCGGTAGGGGGGGGTGCATGTGACTGAGGATATCGAAGAAGGAATCATTGACTAAGTCGCCAGGGATGCTGAGGGATGCTAGTTCAGGGAGGAAGACTGGAATGGCATTGATAGACTCGGGTTGCAGGTTACGGTTTGAAGCGGAGACGATGAAACGTTTGAGGTTGGCTAGTTGGGGGTTGCTCATCAGGCTGCCGAGGCTGGACATGGAGAGATCGGCGCAGTTCTTGAGGGTTAGGGTAGTCATTGTGCGAGGCCAAGGAAAGGAGGACATGGGTATAGAACGGTAGTGGCCGCTGAACTGTAGGCGCTGGAGGTTAGGAGGCCATTCTATTGTGGCTGCAGCGTCGTCGTAGGTGGCGATGGAGGTTGAGCGCGGAAGGCGAAGGGTAGTTAGTCTGCGGAGTTTGCTGATCGCTTTCTTGAGGTCGGGAAAGGGAATTGGATCGCCCACTAGCGATAAGTCGAGGTGTCTGATGTTTGTACATTTGGAGAGAGCCGGAAGGCTGTTGATGCTGTTCACTAGTATTAGGATCAAGGATCTGGAGTAGGGAAGTCATGCACAACGAGCATATAGATCAGACTTACGCAAAGGAAATTCTTGGAGCCAGAAAAATTTCCAGATTCTCCTTCACCCTTCCCAGCAGTCGTGCGGTCAAACTGTTGGAACTATGATATACGAGGCCACTAAGGTCCAATTTGTGAACTAGACTGCCCAATTGTATCTTGTTCTTTCGTGCGCCGATTGTCGGACAAATGGTGTCGGTGAAATTCTTGAAAGCCGTCCCAGCGCTCACGCGCGGCTTCTCATAGAGATATGGGATGGCTACGGAGTACCATTGGCGTGAGACAAGGCAGCAGGCGTGGAGAGTGGCCTGGCGATGGCCATCATCTGCGGCGGCGTAGGTGATAATCTCCACCACAATTTCTGTGGGGAGATAAATCTGGCGTGAGGGCATCAAAGGCATTATGGGCAGTCATGGAATGCATCAATGCCCATGGCAGGTCGAAATCAAGAGTCCGCAGACATGGGTGGGGGAGATATGTAGCTGCCCGGGGCGACAGATATATCTAGTGTCAGTCATGCAAGTTGTGTGGTGGGGAAGCAAAAAAGTAAGTCGGATGGCGATCAAGAAAATGTGAGGGGAAAAGAAAATGGCGGAGAAGCGAGATGATATCATTCCGCCGATTGCCAGCTGCATCTCCGCCTTCCGCACGTCTCTCCTCCGGCCTGTTCTTCGGCAGCTCCCTGTCATCCGGACGACTCCCATCCGCTCAATTGTATTCGTTCACCGCTGTTGCTTGTGATTGCTATTTCTCATACTTATTAGACATTTACTATTAACACTTCAAGTATGCGATCGCAGTCTCTTTGGCGCTCCCTTGCGCTGTTGCAGAGTACTTCCACCCGCTCCTTGGTAAACACTGGTCTGGGCCGACGTGCCTTTCAGACGGCCAATTCCCGCGTCCCCGACTTCGCCTTTGCATTTGAGTGAGTAAGCAATTTCTATCCACGCTGGTGTAGCAGATAATCTGACTGGTATTTAGCATCGATGGCGTGCTGCTACGATCCTCTAAACCTATCCCCGGAGCCGCTGAGTCGCTAGCCCTTCTCAAAGAACAGAACATCCCGTTTCTCCTCTTGACAAATGGTGGTGGAAAACATGAAACTGAGCGAGTGGCGGAAATAAGCGAGAAGCTCCAGGTCCCATTGGAGCCGGAGGTAATCGTTCAAAGCCATTCGCCTTTTGCGGAGCTTGTGCGCGGACCAGACGAGCAGAGTGCCCTAGAAAACAAATGCGTGCTGGTAGTTGGAGGTGAAGGTGATCGTTGTCGCCAGGTAGCGCAGATGTATGCAGGCCTATGTTTGTCCCCAGCATTTCGTGGATGATGATCTTAACAATGGATGCAGGTACGGCTTCAAGAACGTGGTGACACCGGGCGACATCTACATGGCGAACCCATCCATCTGGCCCTTCAGATCTTTCCAAAGCTATTACGAGAAGATTTATAAGCCATTGCCAAACCCAAAGGATCTTAATGACCCCTCGAGAGGGTTGAAGATTGACGCCATTTTTGTCTTCAATGACCCGCGGGACTGGGCTCTAGACGCTCAAATCATCACCGACGTCCTACTATCGTCGGAAGGCGTGATAGGCACCATTTCTGAGAAGAACGGTCGGACTGACCTCCCTAATCGGGGATTCCAACAAGATGGGCAGCCGCATCTGTACTTTTCGAACCCAGACCTCTGGTGGGCTGCAGCCTACCACCTTCCTCGTCTTGGCCAGGGAGGATTCCGCGAGGCACTGGAAGGCATCTGGGCTGCCGTGACTGGAGGCCCGAGCAAAGGCGTCGAGCTGAAGAAGACTATTATTGGCAAGCCTTACCAGGGGACGTACGAGTTCGCGGAGCATCAGCTCTTGCGCAACCGTGCTAGAGTATTCGGCTCAGACGCCCAGCAGCCTTTGCGAAATGTGTATATGATCGGAGACAACCCGGAGTCAGATATCCGTGGCGCGAACAGCTACCGGAGCGAACATGGCAGCAAGTGGCACTCGATTCTGGTGCGAACCGGTGTCTACAATGGTGGTGAGCCAGCTTGGATTCCGACGACGATCGCTGATAACGTGCACAAGGCAGTTGAGTGGGCATTGAAGAACTCACAGTGGCGGTCCTAGAGGTAACGGTGTAGATTTGTATTTGTCTTACTTTTTTGAGCGATTTTTAGATAAGTAGACTGCGACTGCACCTGCGAGCATAGCGAATAGACTATCACTTGTATATAGTACAGCAAATATTATGCAGCGCATTATTATATAATCATATGGCATGGCAGCATCCGCATCAGGTGATGGACAGCCCCTCCTAGGGCTTAGGGCTGTGGGCCTCGGACGGCGGGGTGACTCAAAAGAGAAAGTTGGAGCTCCATTCAGGCCGACGGACTGGTTCCTGATCGCCTTGCTGCTCCCTCCTTCCCTCCATCAACACCCTATCCACACCTTTCACCATGGCGGACTCCGAATTGCCCACTCGCCCCAAGCCCGAAGAAACCCCCGCCGCTGCGGCCGCCCCCGCCGAGGGTGCCGAGGCCAGCAAGAGCGCCAGCAAGAACGCCGCGAAGAAGGCCGCAAAGGAGAAGGCCAAGGCTGAGAAGGCTGCTGCTCGTGCTGCCCAGGAGAAGGCTCAAGCTGCTGCCGCCGCTGCCGACGACACCGCCAAGGACCTGTATGGCAAGCTCCCCGAGTCCGAAGATGTCATCGCCGCGACGAGATTCTCCGACATCTCCGACGAGCACTACGAGAAGGAGGTTACCCTGGTGGCTCGCGTCGACAATGCCCGTGTGCAGAGTGCCAAGCTGGCTTTCCTGATGCTGAGACAGCAGGGTCAGAAGCTGCAGGCCGTCATTGCTCTTGCGGAGCCCATCTCCCGTCAGATGATCAAGTACACTGGTGGATTGAACGTCAACTCCATTGTCCAGGTCACCGGTATCATCAAGAAGCCTTCCGTGCCCATCTCGTCGGCTACCCTTAGCAACCACGAAATCCACATCCGCAAGGTCTACATGATCTCCGAGGCCGCCCAGATGCTCCCTATGCAGGTCAAGGATGCCGAGAGACCGCCCCCGGAGACCAGCGAGGAGGGATTTGAGGTTGGTGAGGATGGTGCTCCTATTGTCACTCTCAAGACCCGTCTCGACAACCGGGTCCTCGATCTCCAGACCGAAACCAGCCAGGCTATTACCTGGATCTCCAGCGGCGTCGCCGAACTGTTCGCCGAATACATGATCAAGAGCGGTTCGCGGTGGATCTTCACCCCCAAGCTGGTGGGTGCGGCTACCGAGGGTGGTAGCAACGTCTTTGAGGTCAAGTACTTCAAGAAGAACGCCTACCTGGCCCAGAGTCCCCAGCTGTACAAGCAGATGTGCATTGCTGGTGACATGGAGAGCGTTTTCGAAATTGCTCCCGTCTTCCGTGCCGAAGACAGCAACACCCACAGACACTTGACTGAGGTAGGCCCAAATGATCACAAGCATCAGCTTGCGTACGTATACTGACTTCGCTAGTTCGCTGGTCTCGATTTCGAGAAGACTTTCCGCGGCCACTACCACGAGGTTCTGGAGTTCGCCGAGAACCTCCTCGTCTTCATCCTCTCCCAGCTCAAGGAGCGCTACGCCGACAAGATCGCCATCATCCAGAAGTCTTACCCCAAGGCCGGTGACTTCAAGCTCCCCAAGGATGGCAAGGCTCTCCGCCTGAACTACATGGACGGTGTTGCTCTGCTGAAGGAGGCCGGTGTTGATGTCTCCGAGCAGGAGCGCTTCGAGAACGACTTCACCACCGCGATGGAGAAGCAACTGGGACAGATCATCCGTGACAAGTACGACACCGATTTCTACGTGCTCGACAAGTTCCCGATGGCCGTCCGTCCCTTCTACACCAAGGCCTGCCCGGAGGACCCCCGCTTCTCTAACTCGTATGACTTCTTCATGCGTGGTGAGGAGATCATGTCTGGTGCCCAGCGTATCCACGACATCAAGGAGCTGGAGGAGTCGATGGTCGCCAAGGGCCTCAACCCCAACCAGGAGGGCTTCGAGGACTACCTGTCTGCTTTCCGCCAGGGCTGTCCTCCCCACGCCGGTGGTGGTCTGGGTCTGAACCGTATTGTCATGTTCTTCCTGGGTCTGCCTAACGTTCGTCTGGCGTCCCTGTTCCCCCGTGACCCCCAGCGTCTCCGCCCTTAAGCGGGTGGCTAGAGCTGTGATAGATTACAAGACCTGTATCTGGATACAAAAGAATATAATGGAGCGACGAATTGAATGTTTAGCGTTTTAAGGTCTATGCCAACCAGTCAGCGTAGCTCATCGTAATATTGGATAAGAGCAGCATGACATGGAAGCTATGTCACTAGCGAGTTATCCTATGATAGATGCGGTATAGGAAGTACATGCTCTTTTGTGAGATGGTTTATGACGTTCAGTCCCATTTTATACCAGATCTTAGTGACGGCTTCATATAAGTTAATAACAGTAGTCTCGAATATAACCACTAAAATTGCTATCTCGCAGTATAGTAATTATCAGAGTAATAACTCAGTGCATTGATACGGAGCTCAAATTAACGGTGCTGTCATAGTGGCTCCCATATACTCCGTAGTAAGTAAAAAGTGGCCCAAGCTCCCGGGGGGAAACATTGGATCGCCGGCATTTTCTCCGCCTGAACTTTTGCTCCCCCAACTCCATCCCAACAACCAAACCAGACCATGACCAATATGCCCGACAAACGCAAACCGTCCGGCTCAGTCACCGGCTACTCTCCCTACGCGAAACGTTCCCGCCCGTCCTACGCCGAAGAAGATGACGACGAAGAAGCACAGCCGACCGTGACTCCATACGAACGCCCGCGCAACCACCCGGTATACGGCCAAAAGAGCGCTTTTCCGGGTCTAGACGTCGCGGGTGATGATGAGTTGTTCTACGGGCCTGCTGAAGATGGCTTGGAATATTTACGCATGGTTCGGTAAGCTTGACTCTCCTTTCTTGATGCTTTCCTTTTGTTTTGTATTTTCTTCTGTTTCGGCTCTTTTCGCTTCCCGCTTGCTAAATGCCTGCGTGTTTCGGACTTTAGCTCGCGAAAGATGGCCTCCTTCGGCATTTCTTGAATTCGGCGATGTGATGTGACGTGGCTCATTTTTTGATTCTGGTTTGTTGTAGATCGGAAGCAAATTCACTCCCTTTTTTGTTTACGGCACCGCAATCGACGGAAACTACTGCTGCGACGGAGCAGGAGCAGCAGCAGCAGGAGCAGGATGGTGAGGAACCGCAACAACAGCAGGAGGAGGTGAAGGATACGTCAGAGCCTGTTCCTGAGGGGGTGGTTGTTGATGGTGTCTACTTTGTTCCTCCTACGTCTAAGACCAACACTACTGTCGCCCCTGCTGCGGATGTCGCCGACGAGGGCATCTCCGACGCCCAGTCAAGCTACTACAACCTCCTTCACCACCGCTTCCTGCTCCTTCGATCGATACTGAAATGCACACCTCCCTCCGAAGCTATCGCCGGGCTCGATGAATCCCACCCGATCAGTCTGCCGCGACACTCGCGAAACGCGCGCAAGGAATGGCGCCGGTTACTCCTAGCGGTGGATCCACAGACTGTACAGCTGGCGTGTATGGATATGGAGAGTGTGCTGGGTGTACTGGAGATCATGGCGCGGTTAATGTCGGAGAATGTACGGAGTGGGGATGCGCAACGGGTTCGACGCATCGGGGCTTGGGCGTGGGGGTTGCTGGGGAAGTGTCGGGATGTTGGACAGCTAGGGACGGAGGAGGTTGGGGAGATTCGGGATCTGGGAAAGAGGGCTGTGAAGATTCTGAGGAAGATGAGGGAGGAGGATGAGAAAAAGATGCAGGAGGGAGACGGGTCGGATGAGGACGACGCTGAAGACGAAACGGGGGACAACGCTGCAGAGGGAGAGGACGGAGCACAACAAGTGGATCGACCGAGTGACGACCAGGATCACGATATGCAGGATGTGGAGGAAGAGAAGCCTGCTACTGAGGAGGAGCTGGAGGCAGCCAAAGCACGGCTTCAGGCGAAGCTCGCAGGTGAAGAGGAGCAACCCACAGTCACTGAGCCCGAGGTTAACAACGAGGAACCTACGAATGAAGCGGCGACACAGACTCGCGCCATGCTGGACATGATCATCACGGTCATCGGAGAGTATTACGGGCAACGGGACCTGCTGGGAGCACGCGAGCTATGGAATGGGCCCGAGGCTACCGCATGACGAGAGAAAGATTGAGTGACCAGCCAGTTTAGTGAACAAGATACCCAGTAATATAGGACAGCCAATACAATTTAAATGTAGTAAATTGAAGCCTAATCATCTCGCTGCTCAAGTGTTCAAAGTAAAGATAGTTATGTGCAGACAACCCCGAAAGTAAGCGGTAACTAATAACCTTGCGTCATTGTTGTGATCCGGCGGTGACTTACTTAGTACTTTACTTCCTTATCAGCGCATCTCATCCTCCACCGCTTCACCATTACTCACCATCTACACTCACACCTCAATCCAACGCAAACAATGCCCCAATAACTTCACCCACTACCACTACCAACCCCCACAAACACATCCAGAACTACAAAAAGGAAAACCCAACAATAATGCCCCCCACAACCCTCGAAATCAGCATCCCCACAACCAGCATCTCCGCAACCCAACCCCCCTACACCCTCTACAACATCACCCTCCGCCTCCCCCTCCGCTCATTCACCATCTCAAAGCGCTACTCCGACTTCACGACCTTCCACAACACCCTAACCTCCCAGACAAATGCGCCCCCACCGGCCCCCCTCCCCCCGAAATCCTGGTTCCAGAACACCATCAACAACGCCACCCTGCGCGAATCCCGCCGCGAAGCACTAGAAGCCTACCTGCGCGCGATCAACGAAAGTGACGATCCCCGATGGCGGAACAGTCCCGCATGGCGGGCGTTTTTGAATCTTCCTAGCCTACCATCCAACAACAATAGCACTGGTGGTGGTAATGGGGGCGCAAGTACCCGTCTCCACGCAGCAATCACCGACCCCGGCGACTCCGAAGGCGGAGGGATCACGGACCCGATTCTCTGGCTGGATTGTTTCAGGGATATGAAGGGACATTTACATGATGCGAGGTTGTATTTGACGAGACGGGATCAGGAGACTACGCCGCAACGACAGCATGAGAGTTCGGCGAAAGCGAAGAGTGAGCTTGTTCGGGCGGGGGGGTTGATTGGGAGTTTGGAGAGTGGGTTGAGGAATTTGAGTAATACATCTACTTCTGGTGGGGAGGAAAATAATGCAGGAGGAGGGTCAAGACCAGGTAGTAAACTCGGGCGCAGGAATACCGCTACGACTGCTGCCACGGCGTGGAGCGTTAGTGGGAACAATACCCTCGGGGAAGGGGAGATGCGACGACGGAAAGATCTACTGATTAACGCGAGGAAAGAGAAAGATGGGCTAGAGGATTTATTGAATGCCATGGCGGCGAAGAGTCGGATTGATAGTGCGGTGGCGTCGATTCAGGATAAGGAGGCGTTGATGGGGACGCAGGGAGGCAAGAAGGCGATTAGGTCGTCTGGGAGGGTGTTGGGGAGGGAGACGGAGAGGACGCGTGAACTGGATAATAGTGGGGTGGTGCAGTTGCAGAAGCAGATGATGCAGGATCAGGATGTTGCGGTCGATGAGTTGATGAGGATTGTTAATCGGCAGAAGGAGTTGGGGATTGCCATTAATAATGAGTTGCAGGTGCAGAATGAGTTGTTGAATTTGGCGGATGAGGATGCTACCAGGTATGTTTTTCTACATTTCATTCTTTTGGGGGGTTTTGCTAATCTGGCTGTAGGTTGGGTGGGAAGATTGATATTGGGAAGAAGAGGATTGGGAGAATTTCTTGATGTGGATAGGATGCTATGGTTGTTTGTGATGTCTATTTCTACTCATGGTCATGGTTGATATCCCCTATATTGTTCATCGAATTGCTACTATATGTTATGTGTGTGTGTTACTTTGGCACGGAATAGGCCTTGTTACTTAGCGCACAGGATTATCGTGCATATTGTACTCTAGCGAGCACAGTCATGCAGCATTGAAGCTTGTTCATTTATCATGATCCAACCATTATCCACTATTTGACAGGTAAAAGTAAGAGTCTGGTTTGTAGTTCTGGCTATTATACCCTTCCTGGAGAACTAAGCCTTATCAGAATACCCCAAAGTCACTTAGCAGCCATAGATATAAACGCCTTCGCCTCCTCTTCCTCCACCTCAGACCGATCCGACTCCCCCTTGTCAATCAACCCCAACTTACTCCTCCTGAGCAGCCACCACAGCTCCCGTCTATCCCCACCAAGCTCCTCCTTCAACAACTTCTCCTTCAGCTGCTTCAAGAAATCATTATACAGCGCAGGTTCCTCATAATCGATCAGTTCCTCCCGCATCACAACTAGCCCCTCAGCGACCCGAGGATAATTAACATCGCCAAGACTGTGTCTGATTTGGTCTTCGATGATAGTGCTCATCTGCTTCACTGCATCCTTGATTGTGTCGATGTTCTCTGCCTGCGAGAGCGTCTGCTTGAATTCGGGGATTGCATTGTTGGGTGAGATCTTTGTGCGCTTCTCTTGGTGGAGAAGTGCATCCACGTCGAGACCAGATAGTGGCTTCTCCGTTTCACGGGATCGTTTGGTGCCCTTGGTTTTTGGTGGGACTGGAATCATCGCTGTGAGTATGAAGGAATTTTGGGGGAGGGGGAAGGGACTGACCTTTCTTGACGTCTGATACTGCTACTAGCTTGTCTAGGTATTTCTTAGACTTCTCAACGAGGTCATCCGGAGGGTGGGAGAACTTTGTTAGGACTGGGGCAGGGGGAGGAATAGGGTCGTTAGGATGGATGGCACGATGGCGGACGGCAGAATCGATGCGGTGCAGGACTGGTGAGAAGGAGTCGTCGATTGGGAGAGATTCCGTCGGGTCACTTTGTTTGAGGTCAGCAGGGAAATTGAGATCGCTTTTGGTCAATCTCACCCGTTCTCGTCCGTATCGGTGAGCTCCATGCTTTTCACGTATTTGTCCATTGCATTCAGCAAATCGTCGCTGGGTAGGTTGCGATGCTGCGTCACCACTTTACCAGACACTGTAACGACCCTGTTGAGTGGAGGGAAGCGGTACGTTCGTACGTCTTCTGCGAATGGCAATTGCGCCTCGAGGAGACACTCGTAGTCGGGTTCGATTGATGGTGCAAGCACAACTATGACAGGGGGCTTGTTCTCTTTCAGCACCATACGGGCAACAGCATACGATTCCAGCTCGAAGAGTGCATGTATGAAGGAGGAAAGAGCGAGTGCTGCCTTGTCATTGGCGCGCTGCGCAATGATGATGTTTGTCGTCGACATGTGCATGTACCGATCATACTAATAGCAAGATTAACTAAGCAGCACACAGCAGATATGGAGGGTAGAACTTACTCGATCGCTCTGTATGAACCCAAGAAGTTCGATAGCCGCAAATGTCTCCAGGGTGGTGATATTCTCATCCGTCTCGCTGATAGGGACCAATGTCCGCCCGTACTCGTAACCTTTGGCAAGTTGGTCTCGATCCACGGTTGTCACTCCGTCTTCAGTAGTCCCATCGTCAATTTGGTAGGATCTGCTGTTTCGAACACCTACAAGAGAACTACCATCTTGCGAGCCCGCTCCCGCCGCTTCCATCTCCTCTTCGGTACGTACTGTGAACTGACTAGCCGACGGCGCCTTCGCAACGTATGTCCTGTAGTAGCGCTCCACGGGGATTCGAACTGCAGTATCATATTCTGCGGGGTTTCCTAGCTGTAAATGGCCCTTGAAGCTTGCCGTTATCCTTGTGCTCTTTACACGAGGTGTTTCTAGCTCCGCAACAGCTTGTTCTAGGGTTCCATAGGCTCCATCGCAGTCTTCGGCCAGACTACGCAGGAGTGCTTCGTTTTCCGCCTGTAGTAGTTGTCATTAGCAGTCCAGAGCAGACGGAACAGTGTGGAATACCTTTCGTGGATCTTTATCTTCCTCCTTCACTCCGTAGTCAGGATCATCAAAATCCGGTCCCCTGCAGCATGTTAGTAACCCCATTCCCCAAGTGTATCAATCAACACTCACAAGATGATAAGCTCAATATTATCCTCCTTAATCTTCTTCGTTATCTCACTAAGATTGTCCGGGTTCATCGGGCCCTGCCCATTAGTAACCAGGACAATCCTGCGCTTGTACTTCAGTTTCTTGCATTGGGTGATAATCATCTGGATCGCGAGAACAAGCGCAGAGATAGCTATAATAGTCAGCTAATGCCCAGCTACACCAATCCCTGTTCAAGAACTGCAACTCACCGTCTCCCTTATTAGTCTTGCTAGGCTTTATGCGATCGCTCAAACTCCGGATATCCGGCATAAGGAACCTATACTTCGTCAGCGAGCTACCAGAAAATCAACAGACAAATATGAACCATACTGCTTAATGCCAGATAAAACCGAGATATGCGAATAGTCAGAATCATCCTCCAATTCATTCGCGGTATCTAGACGTTCTTGCATTAGCTCCGACCCATCAACTACATTACCCGGCGGGAAGAAGCTCACACACCATCTGTCCTCAGCCCAAGAGCACCGATCAAAGCCATTTTTCGTCCGGTGGCCACCTATCCCAAACAATGAGCTTACATCAAGAGCAGATTCTACAAGAAGAGGAATCTCACCGTCCCTGTGATGCGATCCCAAACATACTGCATCGCCCAGTCGAGATCCGTCACTTCGCGACCATGACGGCGCTCTCCCATGGACTTGCCACAGTCCACGATATAGACAGTTGCCTCTTTATCGGCCATTTTCAGTATATAAGACTGAATTGATCGATGAAATCAGATCCATTCGATGCCGCAGCTGGCTCGACATAAAAAGAGACGAGCTCAAGGCAGAAAGATGCACTCTGAGTAGGCAGACGCGTGATATTTCCCAATTGGGACTGGGCGGGACGCGAAAGCACATGACATCATCCTGTGGATGCTGACTAAGAAGGGTGTGCAGTGGGCAGCTTATAGTTACTACATTCTGAATTAATTCATTCATAGCATAGATCTAATAATTGATTGGGATGCATAGTTGCTCCGATCGTAACTGTGTTTCGTTGGTGGGTATCAAGGAATACTGCGAACAATACATATGGGAGTCTGCACTTGGTATAAGTATATAGTTTCAACTGAGGGGAGTGTAGCGCCCGATTCA